TTGTAGAGTACCTTCCACAAAACAGGAATTTCTCACACTTTCAGTATGAGAAGTATTATTTCCATCTTGTAAGTCAAGAGATTGACTCTGAAGCAGTTTGTCTCTGATTCTGTACTTTCTGCTCATTATGAGTTAATGCAAGAATTTCTCATCCAGCATCATTATAACTTGTACTTAAAACTATTAGCAGTGTAGCATGGCCTGAACTACTGTACTGGTCACACAGTGAGATGGTGGGAGAACTTATTTTTAGGAAGGATGTCTGACAGTAAGCAGAAGGTAAAGAGATGGTTGGCTAGTCTACTGCGCAAGTGCTTAAAAACAGTGTAGCTATAGGTCTTTGCACATGAGACTGTTACATCAAATGTAAAAGCTTGCTCTCTTTCCACAGTCTGTGCTTCTGTCTTAGTATGTGTAGTGCCAAACAGATTATTCTGCAAGGTATCCAGTGAGCTGTAATTGTACTGCTGTCTTGGTTTGCTGTGTGAGCTACACAAACACATCTGATTTTTTTTACTGTGGGGGAAAAAAATTTTTTTACTTAATTTTTGAATCCTCAATTTAAATATTATTCTTTTCACTTACTTCATATCACTTGTCTACCAGACAGTAAGTAGCTTTTTCTTCCCCATCGAAACCAGAAGATTCTCAGGGGAAGATATTAAAAAAAAAAAAAATTCTTGACATTCATTAAAGAATGAAGGGTGTTATTACTGTGTTAAGCCAACCACTTGAAAGATACTTGTGAGGATAAAACTGATAAGATTCTTATTGTAAAGCGTAGAAAAACTTTGATTGTGAAGAGGAATGCTATGGATGAGTAACCTTAATTTAAATTTATGCATGATAAAGCATTCCAATGCAATATGGTGTTAATGCTTTCTTTTCTGTTGTCTTGTAAGTCCTGGTGCTTGAGTCTAAAGAATGAACTAAAATATTTAACAGCTTGGTTCATAGTTTGGTAGATAAGTATGTATTATGTAATCCAGCTGTGACTATGGGAATGATTTTGTAAATGCTCAGATATTGTCTTTATTGCTGAAGACAAAAGACACTTCAAAATATGGCTGACTCATAATAAAATGGCAGCATATTTGTGGAATAGGTGGGGTACAGTTTTGTAGTTGAACCGAGAAATAAAGAAATATGAGGACATACTCAGGTTATAGGTGAAGTACATACAGTTCTAGCAAATGGGTAAGAGAAGAACATGTAGCTGTGACTTCTCATTTTGGAATAATTTTAGTTATAATAAAGGGGTTTTTTGATCTGTTACATGTTTCAGTGACATAGAAACAGACTTTTCAGTATAGATGCTACCAACAGGCTCTCTGGTCTGCTACTTTTATCTTAAGGATAACTTCTGTTACTTGGGAACTGGTTATTCTGCAGCTACATGTTTGAGGAGCTAATCCTTAACTTCCAGTGCCTGAAGGAAGGCTCAAGTCCTTAAAGTAAGGATAGCTTTTCTTCTGTGGCAATCAAAATGTTTTGTGTATGAATATGAATACAGTTATATGTAGCAATTAGGTGCTGTATTAGTATCTGAATTAGCAGCTCTGGTATATAGCCAGCTTGTGGCCAGGAAAGCAGCCAATAGCCTGGAGGAAAAATGTTTTAATTAATATGTAATAACTGCTCTAGAGAGCTCTCATCCTGGCAAGCTGCATTTGTAACTTTTCATTTTACTTATTTGGGACAGTTGTTGTAATTTCTATTAAAAAATGTGGAAGACAATTCATTGTACCCTTTTCATGTGGAGTAAAAAAGTGCCAGAATGCTTGAAAGTGTACTTGAGCAAAGTGAAAAATTACTTGGATCTACTGAATATATTTTATATCCATCAGCTTCTTCATAGGATCGACAACATACTGCAGTAAGAATTATTTGCCTTAAGGAAATTATGATTTAAATGTACTCTGTTCTGTTTATATCTTTTTGGTGCTAGACTTCACAGGATGAACACAGTAAATTTGCTTGAATAATGCATACATGTGAGGTTCATTTCATCAAGTAATAAAGCTGTTCATATGAGATATGCCAACAACATCTCTAAATTATATTTCTGTAGGACCCAAGAGCCTCATATTAACTTACAGTTGTAAATTAAAGGGCTCCAGTTTCCATTAGGTAGCTAAGTAGAAGAGCATGAGCTCCCACTTCTGCAACTTAATTGCACTATTATTTCTGAAATGCTTCAGATAAGGCCATTGTCCTTCCTCTTAACTGTCTGTTGCATTTAAAATCAGAGGGAACCTTTCCTCTCTCTTAGGCTCTGCCTTTTGTTGTTGGTCAAGAAGAGAGAATCAAGTGATAAGAAAGACATATTTCTTTCATTAGTACCTGGAAGCATCAAGAGACAAAGTCAGCATGTTGCTCATTGAATGTCATTTGAGCTGAATGTTTTCACTTCAGGCTTTTATATGCCAATTATTTTTAGCTCTATAAGCCATTAAAAAGTACTGTAAACTATTTGATTACACTAAGGAGAATTGTGGCCTGTGCTAACTGGAAATCAGGACTGCTGGACTTTATGGCTCTGAAGTGGTTTAATCTGATTTCATGTAAGCTACTTAAAATCTGTTTCAATTGCCCAGTTTCTTTACCTGTTTGTCCCCATGAATGGGGTGCATGTACCTGCCTATGTGAGATTGGATTCCCATAACACAGCTGCCTTTGTCTTCTCATACCTTGGCAGGTAGGCTGGCAGGAGGTTCAACTGTTCCTTGGTCCCTTCATACCACTGTGAATCTGATGACAGCAAGTCTTGTAATGCCCACTTCTGAAGCTTTAGCTGCCTTTTCTCTTGACCTTGCAAGATACACTAGCCAGGTGGCATAGGTACTCTGTGATTCTTAGTGCTGCTCTGCAAGTCATGTAGAGGTACTGGGGACTGTTGTTGTTGGTGGAGCTATCACTTATTTCAGAGGGGGTGACAAGAAGTCATGGATGTTCTACCTCCTAGTGTTTGCAGTTTCCTTAAGATAGCAGAACCTCAGGGCCTATATAACTCTGGGAAAGATAAGTAAAAAGATGTCTTGTAGAAGTTGGACTTAACAAGCTTTGTAACTGGCTGGTCTCCAGCCTGTGTGAGAGCCTTTACTCCCTCCAATTTCTGCTTACAAACTGCAGTTGGTACAACGTTACCTTGCGATATCAGGAACCATCTGGGCTGTAACATGGGACGGATCTCCAAGTCATCTCTTGCCACGTTTAAGGTGCATTTGAGCCTTCCTTGACTGCAAAGGAAGAGAAAGGACAGACCTTGCATAAACTTAGTCTTTGCCTTTCAGTCATTGTTATGGGGGCCTTGTTCTTTCTAGTTCTTTCTGCTCTCCCTTTGTACACCTCAAGTTTCTGCTGCAGAGGTGCAAGTCTGGTAGGGCTGTCTTGTCTGGGTTAGTTATACCTAGGAAATGCAGCCAATACCCATAAAAGTACCTTACTCTTCTTCAAATTGTGCCTTGAAACTTGATTATACTTATCACATGCTCAAAAAACCCAGTAACAGCCCCCACCTCCCTGCCCCAACACTTAGGTCATGGTTCATTGAGATTGTTGTTTGCTGTAAAATAAAGGTTTTATTTCTTGTACTCTCATTTCTGTTTTTTCTCTAGCCATCTGTTCCCTTTTGTCTTTCATTTACATTGTAAACTCTTTGAAGAAACAATTTTTTGTTTGCTTGTTTGTTTTGCTCTGTCTTTAGTGCCTTGCACAATGGTGTCTTTATCAATGTGTAGGACTCATTGGAGCTTTAACAATGCTACTTCTAAGTCTTGGTATTGATAGACATACTTGCAAATACTCTTCACTAGGTCTTATATTTTTTCAGATAATTTTCATTGCCCTTATCACTGAATCACAATTATTTAATCTAACTATGTCTTTAGGAAAGATATTCTAAGCAAAATTCCAGTTACACAGTTTAAACCCATTCAAGATTGAAGGAATTCTTTCATCTTCCATACAACTCAAAAGTTAAAATATTTTTTCCAATGCATCTTGCATCAGCAGTTTTTTCTCTACCTGTTTAGACCAATATTCTTTTGCTCCCAAATAGATGGGGGCATTTACCCATTTGTAACTATTGTGTTACAGAGCTTGATTTACCTTTGCACTGGGAGAACTGTTGAGTGTAATATCAGTATCACATATTTGGAAGAATGGTGAGATGATAGCAGGTAAATGATGAACACTTCCATGAAGTAAAGCAGAAAGCTGACTTCTAATTTTAAATGAATCAAATTATCTTCTACCGAAGTTATTTGAAGATTTTTCGTACACTTGGAATAAACCTCACACCTTTGGCTGAAACTTCAGTATACTCATCTGAACTGAATCTAGTGATCTTAGTCATTTATAAACAAAGTACAGTTTTAACAATGTCTGCAAAGCTGCAGGAGTATTAGGTGTAGTGACACTTTCCCATCATATATGGAAATGGTTTTAGTAGCTCACGTTCTTTTAGTTTTAAAGTAAAATCATATTCCTAATGTATGTATTACAATATAAAAGACGATTAATGTTACTCATTAATGTTCAGTATGATCTAGATCTATGTAATTAACACTTAATTGTTTTCAGCAAACCTAGCTGTTTAGAGTCATTAAAGTCTAAAATTAAATCAAGTGAAATGTGCTAATTGATGTCAGAATGGATATGGAGCCTCAAAGGCATCTTTAATGGCCCTGTCATCAGTTTGAATACTAGGTTACTCACTAGAGGAATACTTGTGTTTAAAAAAACAAAACAACTTCTATATCTATCTGCATTCCTTGAGCTGATAAAGTCTAAATTAGTTGATTATGTAAATGATCCAGGCTTTTACTTTTTATTATGTTAGGTAAACATATTCCAAAAATGTATTTAAATATTTTTAAAACAATTACCCAATTGTTTCACTTTTAATCTATGGTATTATATTGCTGAGCTAAAATAAATACGAGCTGAAAGCTGAAATCACTTGGTCCTCTAAAACGCTGTCTTTTTCTATTCTGCAGCATGGGTGAATTCTCTTTCTATGGGAATGGTCTTCTTCTGTTCTCCAATAGTCAGCATATTCACAGACCTGTTTGGTTGTCGAAAAGTAGCTGTTGTTGGCGCTGCAGTGGGATTTGTTGGACTCCTTTCAAGTTCTTTTGTAAGGTAAAAATTCTTTTCTTTACATTCAAAGTATTTTATAGATTTTACATGGTCCCATCAAGAGAATATGATAGGAGTAAGCAGTGTTACTTTGTTAGAGTAGAAGCCTTGTTTTATTTGTTTTCATTTGTCTTTCAAGCTATGACTTGTAGAAACTCCAAGTGATACTTTCAGCTTCAAAAGTAATTTAAAAAATATATTATAACCTTATAACAGCACTCTCTATTTAACAGAAACCGCTATCTATAAATGCATCAACAGCAAGACTAATGCTATAAGATCAGCAGCATTGTCCTGGATAAGCTTCTTGTTTGTTTTCTTGATGCATACTGTGTTTTAGCAGGTACATAATCATTGTTTGTCTTCTCTTCTTCTCCCCCATTTGCTTTTAAAACACTGTTTAAATGTTGATAAATATGCAGTAGGACTTCCAGGAAGGTGTTACTGTTTCAGACAAAATTGATGTGTTCTTCTATTCTTACTGGTCCAATTGCGAAACACCGAGATAGTGAAAACCTCGGTATAGTGACATATACTTGGTTTATTTGCTTTAAGAAAATGTTGGTTCTTTTTTGTGTTACTGAGAACCTGAACAGTAGTTGATTTTCTATTTTTTCCTTCAGGTTACACTTTTTTGTATGTATCTAACTTTATTTTATTTTTATGTATCTTTATTTGTATGTATCTAACATTTGCAAAATAAATCCTAAGAAGTTCAAGAATGGCTGATTTGTTGGACATACACAGTAGAAGATGAGGAAACAGGAAATTTACTCATTCTAGTTATCAGCAGAAATTGGTTAGTGAAGATAGGGTAAAGAATAGCAGGAAAATAAGCTACAGTTACCTCCTGTTCTCTGTTTGTTTTTTTCCACCCTTAGCAGAATAAGTACAAGAACAATCAAAAGCAAAATTCAGAAGTTTCCTACATAAATGATAATGTATCTATACAGACTTGTGAAAATGTTTTCTGTGCTTGTGTTCTGAACCAGATAGCCATGAGCTGGCTGTGATCTGCATGGATGAATATCCATGTTGTCTGGCACTGTTTCTAAGATAATATGTCTAGTTTGGGCATATGTCCCCTAATGTGAACACATATCCACAAATTTACAAGAACAGAAGACAAATAATTCTGTCTTAGGTACTGAGTTTATGTAGGTAGTGCTTATGTTTATTCTTAGAATAACTTATGGGAAAAAGAAAGCTTTGTTTTCTTGTTCCTTGTTCAAGCTTCTGATTTTTATTTTATTTTTTGGTTAATCCAAGCGCAAATATTTCGCTGAACTCATTTTTCCTAAAGCAAACAAAATACCCCACTTCCTGATAAGTTTTAAGAGGCCTGTTACCACACCTGAGGTAAAAACTAAAAGAATGCACCTTGGAGAAGTATTTCTTCTTCCTCGCTTCACGATAGTGATGAATACTAAAACAGTCTTGTTATAAACTAAACGTCTTAAAAAAGGAAAGATGTTTTCTTCCTTTGAACAAAATGCTGTCATCTTTGCACAATATTCAGTGGAAAAAGGGCACAAAAAAAGCATGCAAAAGGAAGTTTTTATAAAGGCTTTAAAAATATTTTCACTTATTTGAATTTTGTTTTAGAATTTGAGGAGCACTTTGAGAGGCAGGTAAATTGTTAGATTACTACCATGTTAATGTGCATTCTTAGTGTTTCATTTTACTGTAACATAATGATTTATGCCTATGATGTTATCAGTTAATTAAGGGAGTATAGTTCAGATACAGAAGTCAATGTTCTAAAAGGAAAATATCGTGTAGTAGATAAATGTAAATATGATTTACTGCTTCTATAAGTGTAATAAACTACGCAAATACTTGATTTTTCTGTGTTAATGAGTATTCAGTATTGTTTGAACTGCTAGCAAAGTGAAGAAATCTGTAAATCAAAAATATATTTTCTTTGGAAAAGAAAAAGAAACAACCCAGCAATGGTTGAACTGACATTTGGCTGATACACCCTGATAATGATTTTAAAGCTTTCTTCTAGTCAGACTATTTGATGTTATACTTCAATATAATTTTGCTTTTTTTTTACCTGTTCAGCGAATTCTATGAAATCTTTAGTGGAAAAAGAGCAATTGCTGAATTAAGTTGACACAGTATATTTCAACTATAAGTACATACAAGCTCTTAACTTCTGTAAATGCCAATTCATTGAAAAACTGTCTTGCATATGGTAGGTGAATGTGAGCATAGTGTTGTACAAAACACTAATGATTTTTTTCTGTTCTCTTTTGATATAGCACCATTGAACCTCTGTATTTCACCTACGGAATCTTATTTGCCTGTGGCTGCTCATTTGCGTACCAGCCATCCTTGGTCATTCTCGGGCACTATTTCAAGAAACGCCTTGGACTGGTGAATGGCATTGTCACTGCAGGCAGCAGCTTGTTCACTGTGTCACTGCCCTTCCTCTTGCGAGTTTTGATCGATTCCGTTGGCTTATACAACACCTTGCGGGTCCTCTGCATCCTTATGTTTGTTCTGTTCCTGGCTGGCTTTACGTACAAACCCCTTGTTTCCAATGCCAAAGACAAAGAGGGAGGAAAGAAGGGAAAGTTCAAATTTCCTCCTGAAAAAAAGATTTGCAACTTCTCTGTTTTCAAAGTTCTCAGTTACCGTATCTGGGCTTTTGGGATCCCAGCTGCACTTTTTGGATACTTCGTGCCTTATGTTCACTTGGTAAGTGCATGTTTTTTCCTACATATGATGTATTTAAAACTACAGCTTTTTCCCTTTGTGTTAAGGAGTAAGAAAATGATTGGTGATAAGAAGCAATATTTAAAGTGCAAGTTGTGGGTGGGAGAAACATGAAATTAATTTTGATGTTGTCTGTGATTAAGAGATTCCAGGGCTCTAATCAGAACTATTAGTTGAGCCAGTTTAAAATTTTAGTTCCTCATTCTCAATCTAAGCTTTAAAATACTTTAACTATGAAAAGAAACATTTGAAAAATATTCTGTACTATTCCAAAGAGAATTCTTTATTTTGGTACTTGGCTGCATACATTGCCAATACTACTTGTGAATTTCAGAGGAATAATGGAAGGAGTAAATAACAGAAAACAGGTAAAGCTTCTAATTTTTCTTCCTTTAAATTGAGGTATGTTTGTTAAAATGTGCATTTTTAGAGTATATCTTATTGACTGTTTTCCAGGTTTATTAAAAGCAAAATACTTTGATTTTTCTGACTCTCAAACACTAGCTTT